GCTGTTGTTTTCTGGGCTGGTGGTCACTCTGCTGCACTATCAAGACTTCAGGCCAGCTGAGTCTGGCCTGGGGACCAGAAGCCAGGTTCTGAGTCTCAGCCATTCTTGCTAAGTCTTCCCCTGGACACTCACTCCATTAAGAGCAGTCGGGACATGTCTCCTGGAAATGGCTTCAGAGACAAGCAGCACGCCACTATGAACACTTACAATAGCAGGCTGGGGACAGTGCTGCTCCTGGCATGTCTGAGGGGAGAGAGGCAAGATCCTTCCTGGAGGTAAATCCTTCCTGCTGTTGTTTATTTCCAAGTGCTGGGCATCCAATTCCACATTCATCCTTTTCCTCTGGCTTATCTTTTCATGACTTTGGAGAGCAGTCTTCCTTATCTAGGAAACAAATGGCCTCCACAGAGAGCTCAAAACAGCAAAGTCATTTATCTGGTTGACATGTGTTTGCCTGTTTGTTTTCTCCAGTCTTGAGACAAGAGTTGTGTCAACTGTGGATGGCTGTGCCCCAGTCACTTGAGAGACATGAATCAATTTCCCAGCTGCATTTATCACTTCCAGCCTTAAATCAAGTCTAATCAATGCTTCCTTCATTTGGTATGGATTGAAACTATATATAACAAACTCAGAAAACAGGCCAGAAAAGAAGCAGATCACAAAAATTCCATCAGGGACTTAGATGGACTGATGTTAAGGAGACATTTATAATCTTCCACTTGCTTTCATGGAGACCTCTGGCCAAATAATCACAAAGATTTGCGTTTATGAAGATTAATTTGAATTTACCTGACATGCAGTGAGAGTACATGATAGATCACTTCAATACATGGGGATTTCTGCATTGTTAAAGATTTTATAATTAATACATTTTGAGGATTTGGTGTACTTTTTATAGTTGTATTCCTATATCAAGTTATTAACTCATTTCCGTTTCTTTTAAAGGCATCTGTTCTGTCATCATCGACTGCATAGCTCAATTTCCAGTTACAACACATAAAGTATTAAAATCTCTTTATAACAAAATAGATAGGCAGGAGTCCCTCTGTTTAAAAACAGTAATTTTATGAAATTCTAGGACTAAGAAAACTTGACCCACTCTCTACTCCCCCCAATTCTTGGTAATAGAATTTGATCCACACAGAGTGGATTTTTCATTAGCAGGTGTGAAAACCGCTCCCCAGCTGTCAGCCAATTTAGAATGAGGTAGGGCACAGCCCTGTCTCATTTGTAGATTAATCTTGTGCCAGTGAAAGATGATACCAGCTTAGTTACCAGCACCTAACACAGACCATGCCCGCAGTGAGGTTTTGCATTCTCCAAGGATAATGGGAGAGGAGAGACAGAACATAGAAAAATAGGTCAATGATCATGCAAACCTAGAAGATGAGGCAGTGCTGTGATTCATTGGTATAATTAATATTTCTATCTAATCTGCTGAACTGTGTAGACTTTCAGCACGAGTGTGCCTCTGAAGTGATGAACAGGGCTGGCTCTTTTTCACAGTGCTGGCTCCCCCAGTGACCTGTTGTTAGGTAGCTAAATAGAGCCCTGTTCAGCTCTGGGAAGTCAGACAATAATAATAAACCCTAAGTTGGCTTAATAATTTTCCAGTCTTTAAAAATGTTTTGAACATAGTCTCATAGCCCTTTGAGGTAAGCAATGCAAGCAGTTCTAGTCCTGTTGTTAAGATGGAGGGAGGGTGTAAGCTAGGCATAACCTCTGCTTGAGCGGGGTCCACCTGAGTCGTGGTTCTGGCTGGCGTCTATCCTTGGTTTTTTCCCACTGACTGTGCCTGAGTAGTTGCTGGGTTGCCTCCCTATTCTTTTCCCAACGTAATTTTTTTTTCCCATCACCCAAGGTTTTTGGGAGACTCCCGTGATTATAGGAGATCCGTAAAGCTGCCTGGCAGGCTGTTAGGTTAAAAAATAAATAAAAGAGAGCAGCACCTTTGGGCATGTTTTGGGTTACAGACCTAGTGTGGTATAGTGTTCACAGCCCAATTGAAACAAAGACAGAGTAATATGATATAACAAAGCTTCAAGCTCCATGAACAAAGAGAGGGTAAAAGAAACACTGCGGACATGGAGTCTGAAATTAAGGAGCTCACTCACGTTGTCTCTAATACTCATGAGAGTTGTTTAATGAGCTCCTTGGCTTTGAGGACATTCAGGGAGGATCATGTTTGCTCATTCTTTGAGAAAGCCAGTAACAGGTTCTTCCACCCAAGACAAGTCTCACTGAAGTAGATCCTGTCAAGATTCCTAAGACAGAAATAGAGGGAAGGAAGAACATTTCCATGGCTTTCAACTTTTAGACAGGAGTGGATTTCCCCAACTTGCTTGACTTGAGTGGAGGGAAATGAGGGGTTACAGATAACACTTTTTCAAATTGGCTTCAGGTAATGTACTGCTGAAGAGAAATGCATTTTCAATGGTCAGAAGGATTTTGAAGCTCTCCAGGGAGCCTGAGAGAAACTCTGAACACATTCTGACAAAGCTGTTACAGTGTTCATAGGAGTTAACAAGCAGTCACCCCACTATCATGCTAATACAAACCTGAGTTCATGTCAGAAATACAAATACTGTACAACCTTTTAAACCCATATAGTAAAAGGGATCACACCCTTTCTTGAGATAAAAAATGCTACTGAGATTAATACGTTTCCGATTTCATTTTATTTCCTTCCCAAAGCAAATTGGTTTATCTCATTTGTTCATTCATTCAACAAATATTTATAGAGCACTTGAGAATATGGGCACGGATGACTCAGTGTAACAAGACCCGACACAGACTCCACCTCCCAGCAGCTTAAACTCAAGGGAAAATTCTTATCTAAAATATTCATGGAGGCCTATGCTTCCAGTTCAGATGGAGTAATAAGGAACAGATTTACTCTCCTGCCTGATATAACCAAAAAAGAGAAACAGAAACAATACGTGAAACAATGGTTTTCAAGACTCTGAACATCAGGCAATGGAAGACAGTGATCCTGAGAGTTGGAAGACTAAATGAGGTGACCACTGGGACTGCCCCATCTACTACCTGGGAAGACTTCCCAGGCTATGCTGGGAGGGACAACCCAGGTAGGACTCAGTGGACTCTGGCATTCAAGAGACAGCGCTAAGAAATTGGGGAGACCAAAGCAGCTAATGTGTACAGGACAGAGTTCCGAGAAAAGAAGACTACACAAAAAAGCCCAGATGCTAGAGAGAGTCCTCCTCTAGTGTTCCAGAAAATGCTCTGCAGTGAGGGCCGGGAGAACCATCTGGCAAGGTGGAGGGAATGGGGCCTACCTCAATCAGCCAGACTGGAAAAACTCGTAATTCACAAGGCAGGGGTAGAGCACTCAGGAAAGTCAGCACTGGGGAATCATTTGCCCCAGACTGAGCACTGCTCTGGATCTGCCTAACAAATTACAAAGCAAGACCCAAAAGGATCAAACTATTTCCATGTTATTAACTACATCCCCAAACAAAGCTAAAGAATATCTGCAGGAATATGTCTCCAGTACCCAACAAGGTAATGTTCACAAGGCCTGGCATCCGATTAGATTGCAAGGCATGCAAAAAACAGGACTTGTAATGAGGACTTGTATCCAGAATTTATAAAGAACTCTCAAAACTCAAAAATAAGAAAACAAACAACCCAGCTTAAAAAAATTGGCAAAAGATTTGAACAGACACTTCAAAAAGATATGTGGATGACAAGCATATGAATAGATGCTCAACAACATAAGTCTTGGAGAAATGCAAATTAAAACCGCAATGAGATGCCACTACCCATCCATTAGAATGATAACATGTAAAAGACTGATGTACCAAGCAATGGCAGGCATGTGGAAGGCTGGAATGCTCACATATCACTGGTGGGGTATAAAATGGTACCACCATGTTGGAGAACAACAGCTTAAAACATTAAGCATATATCCAGCTTAGTCATCCTACTCCCAGATAGTCACCTAAGAGAAATGAACGCGTATGTTCACACAAAACTTAGATAAAAATGTTCCCAACAGCTTTAGTTACAACAGCCAAAAGCTGGAAACAAGCCAGATGTCCATCAATAGGTAAATGGACACATCTATTCAATGAAATAGTACTCTAGACACACACTACCACATGAAGAGATCTCAAGATAATTATACTAAGTAAAACAAGCCTGACCCAAAAAAGGGTACATATTGCATGACTCCATTTATATAAAATTATAGGAAATGCAAACTAGTGTGCAGTGACAGAAAGCAGATCAGTGGCTGTCTGAGGAGTGGGGGTGGAGGGAAGAATAGCAAAGGGACATGGGGGCACTTGGGGATGTTGGGTCGTTCCCTTCCTTAATCATGGTGATGGTTTTACATGGTGCATACATATGCCAACACTTATCACACTGCGCACTTTAAATATGCACAGTTTATTGCATGTCAGTTTTAGTTTAGTAAAACTAAAATACAAATATTTATGGGTTCTACATTCTAGAGACTCTGGGAGTAGAACCATTAGTTTCATCTTGAAATATCAGCTATATTTTGGTAAAATATTTTAGAACTTTACCTTTAAAGCTTCATCAAGGAAACCAAAAGATATGTCCCCCAGCGTCCAGGATGTCTGCAGATACCAGAATTTTTGGATACTCAATTCCCTGATGTAAAATGGCATAATATTTGCATATAACTTTTGCATATCCTCCTGTATACTTCACTTGAGTTGGGGTCTTGCTCTATCACCCAAGCAGGGGTGCAGTGGCAGGATCATGGCTCACCAGTCTCGACCTCCTGGGCTCAGGCGATTCTTCCACTTCAGCCTGCTGAATAGCTGGAACTACAGGCGTACACCACCATACCCTGCTAATTTATTTATTTATTTATTTATTTTGTAGAGACTTTACTCACTATGTTACCCAGACTGGTCTTGAACTCCTGGCTTCAAGGGATCCTCCTGTCTTGGCCTCCCAAAGTGCTGGGATTATAGACACAAGCCACTGCACCCACCCCTCCTGCATACTTTAAATCATCTCTAGATTTTAATACCTAACACTAATGCTAAGAAAATAGTTGTTCTACTACAGTGTTTAGAGAATACTGACAAGACAAAAAGTATACATGCTCGGCACAGATGCAATTTTTTCTTCAATATTTTCTATGTGTAGTTAGTAACAACCATGGATATGGAACCCACAAATACAGACAGTCAACTGTATACATTAAGAAAAAGCACAAAGTGAAAATGAGGAAGTCTCATTCAGTAAAGGAAACCAAATCTGACATAATTCTCAACAATGAATAAAATCACTTAGAGCCAATTACTTGGCGCCTGATAGCTGCCTCTCCTGCATATTGCTGTGGTTTACAGCAGTGGCACCCTTGGGTTCAGAAACCTGAATGGTAGTCTTGAGTTGTTCCCCAAGCTCCTCGATCAGAGGCCCAGGAGCTCTAAGAGTCTGGGAAGAGACAAGCAGTATTCCCTGACTAACATCAGACCTCTGGGTGGCTGTGTTTCTGCATACTCCATCACCATCAATAAGCAGGGCCCTGTTTTCTTCAAGGAAGGGCCCTTGCAAAGAATTGACCGTTTCGGATTGACTATCTTTGAGCTTGTCTTGGTCTTGGTCCGAGTTCGAGTCCAAGTCTGAGTCCGAGTCCGAGTCCGAGTCTTCAGTTCCAGATGATGCAGTGCTGCCCGATTCCTCCGAATCACTTGTCTCAGAACTAGAGAAAAGTGTCTGCTGCCCAGGAACGGAATGGGCTGCTTTTAATGCAGTTTCTTCCTCCTGGACAAGAAGTGCCGCTGCTTCCAGTTCTTCCAGCTCTAATCCCAGTTGGGCCTTTGTAAGGGAGACTTCCTTTAAGGCTTCTGCAAGAGCTGCCAACTTTTTGGACCTTGAAAAACATTTTAAGAGGAAATATTAGGACTACTCATTTATTGACCTGGGGACAACAGAGTATATAGCTTCAAAACAATGGCAAAATAAAGCTGAGTTCATATTTCACATGACATACCAGGATAAATCCCATAACAGATCACATATGTACAAAATAAAGCTGTTAAAGTATTACAAGGAAACATAGATTTCCTTCATGACCTTAGAATGAAGAAGGCCTTTTTAAGATTAAAAATTCAGAAGCCACAAAATAAAAGAGTGATAAATTCAACTAAATAAAAATCAATTCTGGGCAAAAAAAAAAAAAAAAAAGTCAAGCACCAATGCAAAACTGGAGAAAGTATTTGCAACTCATATTACAGATCAAGGTCTAACTCTCCCAGCAAAGATCCTAAAAATCCAACAGAAAAATGGACAAAAGATACAAGCAGATGATTTTCACAAAAGGAAATACAAATGATGTTCAGCTTAAGTCAAATAAAAGAAATACGAATTAAAGTCATATTGAGATATAAGTTCCAATATCAGATTGGCAAATATCCCAACCTTTGATAACATTCTGTTAGCAAGGCTATGGGAGAAAAGGTACTTTCATATACTGTTGGAGGGAGATTAAATAGCTACAATCTCCATGAAGCAGAACTTAGCAATAACTTTCAAAATGAAAATATACATGGCTTGACCCAGCAAGCCCCACGCCTGGAAATTAAATACATATGCTACGTGACATAGGTCTGAGGTTATTTACTATGACATTGTTTTTAATACCCCTAAATGGGAAACAACCAAATGTCCTTGATATGAGACTGGCTGAATAACTTATGGCATATCCATACAAGGAACAGCCTACAGCTGTACAAAGTACGAATTGCTCCATGGGCCAGTCCACTATATTGTTTAACAACCAAAGGCTCACCATATGTATATGCTATATTTATACAGAAAAATGAAGAACAAGAGATATAGAAGCATATGTATTTGCTTGTATACTTCTCAATAACCTCTAGAAAGTGACAGGAAATAGTAACTTCTGTGAGGGGACCAGGAGAGAACTGGAGATCTGGGGGATGAGAGAGGACGACAGTGAGAAGGAGCCTTTTCAATGCATGTTGTTTTGCTTTTATGCCTATATGAATGCAAGACCTGTTCACCATCTTGAAATGTATAAAAAAGGGGGAAAAAAGCAATATCAGAGGGTAGCATGGAATGCTTCTTCTCTTGATCAGAAAGTCACTTTATATTAGAATATTTTTTTCTCTAAATTACCTGCTAGATCTTAAAACATTACATAAACTTTTCCATTATTAATTTGGATCCATTTAGTTGCTTTGTTTTTGTTTCTAAAAGAGCCAACATTGTGTAAACTGCAGTTCTCCAAAGACTATTATTCTAAAGGAGGAAAATCTGCTGTGACAACTGAACAGAGGTGGCAGTGAGTGAAAATGGTAAGTGTGACTTGGTTTCCATGTTTCCCTGACTCCAAACACTAAATGACTGTACAAATCATGTCGTGGCTTGGAGACAAACTGGATGAGGGTGAGTTTACAAGATAAATCCATTTATAAAGTGTAGTCCACACTGGGAGAATGAGGCTTTATTTCAGTAGAGCCGAATGGGTGGTGCAGTGGGAAATAATGACTAAAGCTGGCACTTTCATTTGAGTGCCTACATGCATCTGAGATCCTGTCTCCCAAATATTTGGTGCAATAAAGAGTTTGTGTAGGGATGGGCCCCTGCTGCCCCCTCACATGTGTAATCAGGATGCAGAAGCACCAGTGCAGTGTCCAAGTAGGGGTGAGAGGCATGGTAAGTGAGCGAGACGGGCAGCAGTCATTGTTGTTGGGCAACTTTCTCTTAAGCAAGGAAGACCCTGGGTTTCATTGCTGGGATTTCCAGGCCTTGGAAAGAGGGGTGCTTAGGTTAAAGAGCAAAACCAAGGTGAGGCTAGCTGGAGTCAACTAATGAGGCACCATAGCACTACACACCCTGGCTGAACTTTTATCAGTTTGAAAAAAGCATAGTTATGGAATAAGATGGCTGCAACATAATTTGCATTGATGCCCCAGGCAGTTGTAAATGATGTCCACCATATCCTTTGAAACCTTGACTACCAGTGGTAAAGGATGCAGTCAGTGAACCAGTTTAAAACATCTGTGAGTAGTGATATTTCTCACGGAAGGAGAGTTCTCTTTGGGTAGTGATGCTTTAAGGAATAGAGTAATAAACTTGGGAAAGAGGACAATGCCTCTTATTTATAATATCACAGATGAAAATTTAAAATAAAAGCTTTTGCTTCAGGACCATGTGTCTTATTTTTAATAGTCTATGATAAATACTTTCAACAATATACAAAGGATGATGTTCCCCAAACATCTTCGTACTTGTTCCTCACAACCACCCCGTAAATCAGTGCCACGATGATCCCTCATTACAGATGAGGAAACAGGAGCTCACAGGGGTTCCGAGCTGCTGAAGCTCCCCCAGCTAACAAGGGCAGTCAAGACTGGAGACCCAGGTCTCAGCACTCCAGGGCTCTTCCCATCCACCACAGGGCCTCCCATAAGACACAGCCTCTGCCAGGTTGCATCTCTCTCTCTCTCTTTCTTTTTTTTTAAGTCGAGTCTCACTGTGTCGCCCAGGCTGGAGTGCAGCGGCAGGCTCAGGGCCACCACAGCCTCGACCTGCCGGGCTCAGGCAATCCTTCCACCTCAGCCTTCCAAGTAGCTGGAACTCAGGTGTGCGCTACCACACCTGGCTTATTTTTTCTTGATTTATTGTAGAGACAGGTCTCACCAAGTTGCCCAGGCTGGTCTCAAACCCCTGAGCTCAGGCAATCCTCTCACCTCAGCCTCCCAAAGTGCTGGGATTATAAGCTTGAGCCACTGTGCCCTGCCAAGTTGCACTCTTAAGACCAAGTCTTCACTTCTTCCCAACTTGAGTTCCACTCAACATCCTTCAAATGAGCAAGTTCTGACTTGCACAAGATCCAGAATCCTCCAAAGTAACTGTCACTGATATTTCTAGCTTAGTTAGCAATGTTAAGTGAAGTATACATCTGAGCTTTAATTGCAGAGGTTTGGGAAAGGAGGGAAAATTCTCAAACATTTTTGTAAGTATTACTGAATATATTAGCTATGTCTATTCTCAAGCTGGAACTATTTGGATCTTTGTTATTATCCACTATGCAGATATTACATCTGAACTGCCTTTTAGAACGGTGTTAAGTGTGGAACTCCAAAGCTCCTCCCCTGGAATCCCAGCTCTTCTCAGAAAGTGCACCCCACGTATGATGGGACTAAAATTTTCATCTGTAACAGGCAGGAAAGGGATGAGGATGAGTCCTGTGACCCAAGCAGGAGGTACCGGCCTGTAACCAGCTGAAGTGAATTTTTATTCTTTAGGAAAAGGTTTCTCACTTCCAGCACGCATTATGTTTAAAGTGACAAGTGTATACAAGAAATGCAAAAAAAGGAAGAATAATTATATATTCATTTTTTGATCCTTCATCAAGCTGATTCATTTATTTTGTATCATCCGACTTTTACTACCTCAAGGTGTCTAGTTTTCCTTTTTCCTTAATTAAGGAAAAAGTTCTGATAGAAATTTATAGGGGAAGCATTCGAAATTCTGCCCATAAAGAATGCTATAATAAAAAGTGATTAAAATTTTAAAATGGCATTGGTGTTGAATGTGACCCAACAGCACGAGGAATGAAAGTTGGATTTGTTTTTATTCAGTTATTTTATATAGATAACCTAGTAATCACTGCTCACAAAAAGGGAAATTATTCCTTTGGGGAAAACATTAAGCTATGAAAGAGTAGCTGTTTTGTTCTTTTGGTACTAGTACAATTAGAGTTGGTTCTAATCTGCCACTCCTTGTAAATTCTAGAATCTACCTCTGTAATACACTTACCATTTCAGAAAGCAACTCACTTAAAGTAGTTAGTGGTTTTCCTCTGTCATACGCAAAACAGTCCAGGCTAGTTCCTATCCAAAAGCTTTGTCAAATGGCATTATTAGATAACCACTCTCACAAACACCAGATACATTTTGATTCACTCAGTGAACACATATGCTGAGATACTAGTTATAGTTACAGTACATATTTTATATCTAAGTAAATATCACCTACCTGTTATTTATTACAAAGTGAAGAGACACCACATTTAAAAGAGACAATTGGATCATATTAATGTCACATTTTAATAAAAATCACACTCAAAACAGATTTTTCTTAGAAAGTTATGAAAATGTAAGCCTACCATGTAACTTTAAAAAACTCTTCATTCTTTTTACATATGTAAAATAATATCCTATTTGGAGAATTTCTCTTTAAAGATTGCTGACAAGTGACAGTAAATACAACTACCACAAAAGAATAATAATAACAGCTGAAAGCACAAGCCTTTACCAAGGCTAAGCTGATATAAAATTTCCTCAATTATTTTGCATTTAGTGACTAAGTTTGGGGGCAGGGGGAAGGATCCCCAGTCTTACGAAGCAGCCAAAACAAAATGCAAAAGGAGTCCTGAAATGTAGGGGGGGACACCTGGGACTAAATGGAAAGCATACATCCTGTTTCTTGCTGTAGAGTTTTGTCTCAAGCTATCAATCAATTTTTCACCACTTCTTGCAATAGCAGGTCTACTATAAATCTCACAGTAACTGACTAGGTCTCATTTCCTCTGTCCAAACCTAGTAGCCTGCCAGGCATGACATACTGAGAATAGAGCCAGCAAATGATGATGTAGGACAAGACTCCAGTGAGGTAATTCCAGACAGTTCACACCAGATTTACTGGCTGACCTGGCCTTTTAATTTCATAGCATAAGCCCCCTCCTCCCCCCCGCCCCCCAGCAATGTCAGGCTCTACCTGGCTCCAAACAGTACATCAACTTTATTTTTTTTAGAGGCAGGGTTTCACTTCATTGCCCAGGCTGGAGTATAGTGGCTATTCACAGGTGCAAACATAGGGCATTACAGCTTCGAACTTCTG